CTGGTTTTATTAAATATCGTACTTCTTTCATATTGTCACTTCTTTTGGTTTTATCTTGAACTGTTTTCTAATTAAGACATTTTGGGAATAGTACTCAGCACCTAGGGTAGCAGTGTGAAGACATTTACTTACTTCATTTACTGAAGTATTTTATGGGTTTGTAAAAGAACTGTAATGTATATCATAAGTAATAATACTCCAGTATGAAGGAAAGAAAGGCATACAGCTACAGTATATGAGAACCATAACCTTTTAATATAGGAAGCATACTCTTGGAGATATATTTGTTCTCCTGTATGGAAATTATGAAAAAGTTGATGTAAGGGGAGAGATAAATATGTATTTTATTACAATAAGTCTTCTAAATGGCAATGTTTAAACCAATGTCAAACATGAATCCAGCCCTTACTTTTGTTATCATCATCAACAAAAACAACTATTTTCCATGCTAATTCTGTATTTCGGCATATGGTTATTAAGTAAGCACATACACAAGTAAAGAACACTGCTTTCAAAAAATATAATGGAGAACTTCATTCCAAGCTTGCCAGTAGTTTTTAAAATTTTATTTGAGATGACAGCTCCAGAGAAAAAAACAAATGTTCTCATATTTCATAGATGAGTTTCATTCTTTGGTAAAGGTTAACTAGGTTGATACTGAAATAAAGAGGACAGCATTTACAACTATTATTAATATTGGTTAAACTTTTTTTTTGGAAACCGTTATTTTTTATTTCTGTAGAGAGTTTTCCATATGTCTTATTCATCTCTCTTTCTTTGTCCTTTTAAGATTTCATATTGTTGGGATTCTATCTTCTACAGCTGTTTCTCGATTTACACATATTGTATTTATGCATTTATCACCTTAACACTTTCATAATTTGTGTGGACCTTTTTTGAAAAGGGACAGAAAGCATTAAATCATACTAACGTCAACACTGTCAGCAGTGGTTAGTTCTTGGGAATATACATACATCAGTGTTTCAGAGTATTCACAAGTGTGCAACTGGCACTGAATATAAAACTTGTCAAACAACAGTCACAAGACAATCACAGATAAAATCGCAGAAACATCAATTCAACCATAGTTAAAATCTAAACTGAATACCTCAAATAAATAGATACAATGTTACACATACAATTATACCAACAAGATAATTAGCAGTACGTAATAATTATCCTTCCTTAACTTAAACTTACACTTAATGTCTATATTGATGCCTACTGTGGGACATCCATCAGTCAGCATGCACTCCCCTTCTATTCCTTAGCTGTTGATCCCGACAGAAGAGCAAAAATTCATCAACAGTATATGACGGATTATGTATTAGGACATCTCTTATTTCATTTATAAACTGTTTTTTATCATGTACTAAGTTAGATAAATATCCGGGCAGACTGTTAAATATTTTTATACTCATGCAATGGACCCCTTTCTGCCTCATTGCAAGATGTGATTGTAGGACATGTAAATTTCTTTCGTGTCTTGTTGGTCTCTCATAAATTGAATAATTAAAAGTAAAATACTCCAAGTTATTATAAAAGTCATCAGAGATAAAATATATTGAGACACCAATGTTAATATATTTAACTTTATAAATGCTGGCCTATATGACACTCTATGTTTCATCCCCATTATTATTCTAATAGTCTTCTTTTGTAAGAGAAAGATCTTCTTGGCCTCTGACGAATTACCCCAAAAAACTATTCCATATCTCATGAGTGAATGAAAGTATGCATGATATATCATTTTAAGTGTTGTAACATTACTGTATGGTTTCATAATTCGTATTGCATAACATGCCTTTCCCAATCTGGGTAACAATGATTCAACCTGTGTCTTCCAATTCAAGCACTTATCAATTTCAATGCCCAAAAATTTAATATGAGTTCCCTCTTTTAATAATTCATCATTAAACTTTAAATGTACAGGCATATTGTCACGATCGATTGTTTCAAATTTTAACACTTTAGTTTTCCTCAAGTTTAGGGCTAAGCCATTGTATTTAAACCACTGACTTAAGGAATTTAATGTACGTTTAGACCTTTCTTGAATTTCATCGATATTAAAACCCGACACTAATATACTTGTATCATCGGCACACAACAATGACTTATTGTCAGTACACAATGCTGACGGCAGGTCATTAATATATAAAAGGAACAACAAAGGACCCAAAATCGAGCCCTGTGGCACTCCATATTTGATGGTTCCCCAGTCTGAACAGCATTTACCATTTTCATCATTATAGAGTTCAACTCTTTGTCTTCTATTTTCCAGATACGACTGCAACCATATTTTTATTTTACCACCAATGCCAATGGCGACGAGTCAGGAGCAGGAAGATGCAGGTTGTGAGGAAAACAATACGTGCATAAAATATAAAATTGCAGAAGGCGTATGCATAAACCGAGAACATTATATTAGTGAGAGTATAATTGTGGATAAAACGGCATTAGTGAATCTACAAGATGATATAAAGAAATTAAGTAGTATGTTACAGTTAGCCATGAGAAGTTCGGGAGAAGAGGTTATGCAACATAAAATTAATACGATGCTAATAAAGATGGCTAGTATTATTGAGGATTCTCCAAGAACCAAAGAACAAAATGTGGAGTGGATAGAAGCGAAAAAAGGAAAATCCAAAATCATCAGGAAACAATATGATCAGTATGCGATCCCAGTTATCAACAACCGATACGCAATGTTGGAAAACCATGTAGAAGATTGTGAAAACTCATCTTTAGTCCGAGAATTCAAATCATCATTTGGTAAAGTGGAAAGAGGTAAAAAAAAAAAGAGGTGTGAAAGAAAC